ATAGGTATGCATCTATCATCGTAATATGTCTTTAGCTCTTTTGGGAAGATACTGGAAAGGGATTAGCTGGGTAAAATGGAATTTCTGTTATTAGTTTTTTTGAGGAATCTCCATACTGATTTCCATAGAGGTTGTACCAGTTTGTAGTACCAGCAATGAAGAAGGGCTCCTTTTTCTTTGAAGCTTCTCTGGCATTTGTTGTTTGATTTTTTGAAGATAGTTGTTCTTTCTAGGGTGAGATGCAATCTCCATGTTGTTTTAGTTTGCATTTCTTGAATGGTCAGCTGTGTTGAATATTTTTTCATGTGTTTATTGGCCATCTATAATTCTTCATCTGAGAAATGTTTATTCATTTTACTTTTTTTTTTTTGGACTGGAGATTGAACTCAGGACCTTGCATTTGTGAGGCTGGTGTGGTGCCGCTAAGCTAAATCCCTGGCCTATTTATTTATTTTATTTTTAATTTAATTTTATTTTTTGTTTGTTTTGTTTTTGGTATCAGGAATCAAACTCAGGTCCTTGTGCTTGCGAGGCAGGTGCTGGAACTACTGAGCTAAATCCCGGGCCCGTTTATTCATTTGAGATGTCCATTTTTTGATTGGGTATTTTATTTTGAGGGAGTTTATTTATTTTTTATTTATTTATTTTTTTGATCGTGGGGTTGGAACTCAGGACCTTGTACTTGAGAGGCAGGTGCGGTGCTCCTGAGCTAAATATAAATCCCTGGTTCAGGGAGGTCTCATTTTTTTTGAATTCTTTGTGTATCCTAGATAATAGTCCTTTGTCTAAGCAGTAGTTGGCAATTTTTTTTCCCATTCTGTAGGCCCTGTCTTCACTCTTTTTTGAGACAGGGTCTCATTATGCAGTCCAAGCTGGCTTTGAACCTTTATCTATCCTCCTGCCTAAGCCTCCCAAGTGCTAGGATTGCAGCGTGTGCCACCATGCCGGGCTTCAGAAGCTTTTAAATTGATGTGATCCCATTTGTTGATTCTTGATATTATTTCTTGGGCAGTCAGGGTTCTGTTCAGAAATTCTTTCTCTATGCCTGTGTTTTTGAGAGTTTTATCTATTTTCTCTTCCAATAGATTTAGTGTTTCTGTTTTAATACTTAGATCTTTGATCATTTTGATTTTAGTTTAGTGCATGGTGAGGGATACGGGTCTAGGTTTAATCTTCGGCATGTGGTTAGCTGGTTTTCCTAGCACCATTTGTTAAAGAGTCCATCTGTCCTCCAGAGAAAGCATTAGGCCCTTTTGTCAAAGAAAAAAAAAAAAAGATTGCTTAGCTAAATGTGTCTGTAGTTGTTTCTGCATCTTCTATTCTGTTCCTTTGGTCCACAAGTCTGTTATTATTATTATTTTTTTTTTGCCCATACCATCTTGTTTTTATCTCTGTAGCTTTATAATTTAACTTAAGTTTGGGATTGTGATGCCCCCTGCCTTGCCCTTGTTGTGTCTCCATATAAATTTTAGGATTGGTTTCTCTACTTTTGTAGGAATGCTGTTGCTATTTTGATTGGAATTGTGTTAAATCTGTGTAATAATTTTGGAAATATGGACGTTTTGACAATATTAATTCTCCCTATCCAGGAACAGGGGAT